TCTCCGAGAGACGGGCTCCGGTCGCCGAGTGGGGCCGCCCTCCAGGGGCGGCGCTCTGGGAGCCCTACTACCCTCAGTCTCGCCCCGCCTCACAGGTGCTCGCAGGGGCAAGTGTAAACCACCAGGACTGCCCCACCTGGGCCCCTGTGAGCAGCCAGGTAGACCCCAGAACCTCACCTCTGGCCGCTGCCTCTACACTGTCCCCTCTAGGCTCGATTACTAGTACAGGATGCCCTCCCTCACAGGTCTACTCGGGAAAGCTAGTCCTGCCTCAGGCCAGGTAGCGTCTCATCCGAGCTCCCACAGCCCTCTGAGAGTTCCCAGTTGAACTACATGCTATCTTCTGTCTTGTTCATCTCCCTGACAGTCTCAGAAAGTAAAAACCCTATTTTATTACATCCCCAATGCTTAGTTTAGTGCTTGGCAAAGAGAAGACATTTAAAAATATATTTATTGAATGAAGTCAGATTTCCATCACACCCATGCCCTCATGTGGCTACAGGCAGCCGCCAACACCAAGCACAGACGCAGACGCTTCACACAGGTTAACCCCCCAACCCTGTCGCAGGCCCAATATACTCACACCCAGTGAGGTCACTGAGGGATTTTTATTTATACTGATTTTGCTATAAAGTGTTGCTGAGGTAGAGCCAACTGTCCAGGGCTGGACGGGGCAAGGAACACAGGGACCCAGGGAAAGGAGAGCCAGGGTCCTAGGTTGTGGTGCAGGGCCTCTCAGTTACTCATATAAACAATAAATTGGGCAATAAATAGAGGGTGCACAAGGTTGGAGGGACAGGCAGAAGGCTCCAAAGGGTGAGAGGCTGCAGGCCACTGGGGAACGAAGGGGTAGAGATTGGGCATGGACCCAGAGCCTCTTTACCCAGTCATCCCAGATCAATTTAGGACATATGGAGCAGAGAGGGTTTCAGTCGGAAGGCATCAAGAAAAGAGAAGATGCCCCGCTTTCGAGGGGCAGCCCCTGCACCCCCAACCCCTCCTTTGAGTAAGGGGAGAGGCAGGGGACCTCCTGGGGAGTCCACAGAGCTGGTCCGCTTGAGCCGCAGGCGGGCACGGGCCTGGGCACCCCAGGCCTTGCCTCGAGCTGCAGAGGCCACAAGACACTTCTGGTACTGAACCTAGGGAGAAGGGGTATGTGAGGATCCAACTCCCTTCTGCCTCGGACTCCCTGAGAGCTTCTGCAGAACAAGGGACTGGCCAAGGCTTCAGTCTGACATGAGGCTCGTAGTCCACCACATCTGGAGCCCCTACAGCATTCCCAGGTAGCTCAAGAACAAAAACATTAACACTTGACATTTACTGAGCACTTAAAGGGGGCTGGACACTGTGCTAAATGCTTTGTATACTGTAACAGTGCAATTACTTATCAGGTGTTACTACCCCCATTTTACAAATGAGGAAATTGAGATTCTTTAGAGAGAATACATGACTTGCCCAAGGTCACCTAGCCAGAAAATGGTAGAAATGGGACTCAAACTGCAGAGCCTGTGCTCTTAACCATACTGCTGACTATGCTCTTACCACTATGCTGACTCTCCATCTCTCACTGGAGTGGACTGGTCCCTAGCAAAGTGGATCCCCTAGTCAAGGAGAGGGTCTTTCACGCAAACTCCATTCCCAATGCAACTGCCCCAATCTTCTCTCATTTGAACTCAACAGGGTACTCAATGGTCTTCCTACATCTTGTGTATTCCAAATCTTTTACCTACACTATAGCTTAAGTGGTCTTCCTAATCCACACACCTGACTTCACTGTCCTGCTCAAAGCCTTTCAATGGCTCACAGGATAAAATGCACTTATCACCCTGACCTATAAGTTCTTCCATGACCTAGTTTCTGCCATTCTTTCTGCCCCCATCTCTCACTCCGGATACACTAGATTCTCTCAGATTCTCTAATCCACTAACATCTCTCACCTTCACAGATGGAGTTCCCTGTACTTGGCCTACCTTCTGTTCTACTCCCCTTCATCTAGCTAACTTCCTCCTTAGACCGTCAACTCTCAATTTCCTATCACCTCTTACAGGTAGGCTTCTTGAACCCCTGAACGGACCTTCTCCTCCATCATCCTGCGGTGTCCAACTTCTTTCTGGTCTGTCTCTGCTTCAACCTAAGGCTCTGCCCTCTATACCACTGAATTCCTGGGGTCAAGTATAGTGCCTGGCACCCTGCGGGCACTCATATACTGAAGAGTAAGAGCATTCCACAAGCAAATGCCCACAGATACCAGGAAATTACCTAAATGAGACAAAAAGAAAAGACAATGCCCACCCTACAGGGCACAGCCCCTACACAATTCCAGCTGAATGTTGAAATTTATGCACGTGAACCCAGTTGTCAGAGCTTCTGATATTTTAAGAAAAACAGGAATAACAATTATTGTGTGAAATGTCCTGGCTTTTAAATACTGGCAACTCAGCCCTGGCTGGTTTGGCTCAGTGGTTAAGAGTATCGGCCCTTAGACTACAGAGTATGGGGTTCAATTCTGGCCAAGAGCACATGCCTCAATTGCAGGCTCCATCCCTGGCCCTGGTTGGGGTATGTGCGGGAGGCAACCAAGCAATCTCTCTCTCTCACATCGATGTTTCTCTCTCCCCCCTCCCCCTTCCACTTTCTCTGAAAAGCAATGGGAAAAATATCCTCGGGTGAGGATTAAAAATAAATGAATAAATAAATATTGGAGACTCATTAAAACATATTAAAAACAGCATGAGGGCCAAATAAAACACTATGAACCATAGTCAGCCCTTGTATCACTGGTCTGTGATTTCTGGAGAGGCTGCCAATCCTGAGCCGCAGTCACCAGTACAAAGCAGCTGCGGGGCAGCCCCACCCACCACTCCTACCCCTAACTCACCATGCAAGCAGCCTGCACAGCTTCGGAGAGTCCCCCTGCATGAGGCTGGCACCAGAAGGCCGCGCACTGGAAGCTCTGTCGGCCCAGGTCAGCAATGAGGCCAAAGGTGTGTGGGTCGCGGCCAACACCAATAAAGGTCACAAGGCGCACAGGGCACTGCCATAGTGGTTCCTCCTCTGCATCAGCCTCTGCCTGCCCACACCAGGCCTAGTCACTAGAGGGCCAGGCACAGGCTGGATCCACTGAGCAATTTCCAGCAGCAAGCAATGATGCCCGGCATCCCTGCCCACCCCTCCACAGCCGCCAACTTCACCTTCTGGTACCTGAATGGGATGTGCAGTCATGAGAGAGTCAGACACACTGAGCATGGCGGGGACCCAGGAATCCCGGTCCCCCCGGGTGGTGAGGATACCAATGGCCTCGTTCAGCACATCCATTCCTGGGGTGAAATACCCACCATCATGTCTCCCAGACATAAAGAAGGAATCTGCAGGGAGTGTCTAAGCCCCTCTCACTGACTCGGAATTCAGGGAGATGGGGAGACTCCCTGTGGCTGCGCTCAGAATCCTGAGCTGGGGAGGGTAGTACATCCCAGGCCTTACAGGGCCATGGAAGCATGCTGAGAAACAGCGGTAGATCCTAGCTCACCCAGCTTCCCCTTGGCTTATACAGCCCCCCAGCCCCTCCAGCCCACTCAGTCCTCACCCATGGCTTTGGTGACTGGCAGGGTCCCCATGTACAGTGCCTCATACTTCTGAGCAGCCTGGCTCACCGCATCCAGCAGCTCCACTGAAATATACACAGCATGTTGGCCCATGTGCTCTCTCCACAACCCCTTTCCCCACCCTTCTGAGAGCTGAAGCTAGCAGAAGATAGAAGAAAAGGCCATGGATATGCCTCCAATTCAGGGCTTGGGATTCCTAGAACCAGGATGCCTCAGAAGTTCCATATTTCCAAGGAAGTACTAAGTAAGCAGGACCCCCCTCCCATCTTTCACTAAAACAGCACACTGCTGCAGTGCAGGACCTCCCTCCCCATACCTTGCCTTGGCAGATCTTCAGGGGAGATTGGGTCTAGGGAACAGCAAGAGGAATCACCACTGACCCCCACTCGCTCTGACAAGATCTGAAACACAATGCAGCTAGCTTGAGTCACGAGAGGAATTGAGGTAAGGGAGCCAATACTACCCTGCCCCAACCACCCTGGCAAGTTCAGACCCAGCTCCATCCCACATTCCCTACCCCACTCCTGGCCCTTACCTGGGCACAGAGCCCATGTAGGGCACTGGCGATGGCCTTGGCAGGGACGTCACAGCGAAACACATGGCACTTGAGCATACAGCTGTCTTTGTCACCCGCCACAAAAGCAAAGTCCCTGGCAGGTCAGAGATGGGGCTGGGATAGAGGCTGGGTAGGGGCAGGGGCCTATAATGCCTGCAGGAAGCTAAAAAGTCAGGCAGGGGATATGGAAAGGATGGACATGGAGGTCAGGGCTGGGGCTCAAGGCACCTGGCTGTCACTCACCTGTCACTGTTCCAGAAGCATGTGGGAGCACAGAAGAGAATCAGCTCAGCCTCTCAGGCTCTCCCCCATCTGTCCCTGCTGAGCTGGGCCCACCCTCCCCAACCAGGGCTGCACCAGGCAGGGGAGGCAGAGCTTGGGTCCATGTCAGAGGATCTGTGTCCAGGGGTTCAAGTACAAGGGATCAGCATCAGTAGGGAACACAGCCTGCAGGGGGTGGAAGGAGCAACTTTCACCTGAGGGGATGTAGGGGTCCTCACCGGCCCTTGGAGCTGCCCACACCCCATACACGGATGTGCACCAGAGGCTGGCAGTGGATCAGACTGTGGTCCAGCGGATTCACCAAGCTCATGGCATCCTTCTTCAGGATCATTAACATGTTCTGGCCCTGCCAAGGACAGAGGACAGCCCAGAGCTCAGATGAAGGAGGCTGCCATGGGGAACAGGCAATTCAGAGACAACTACCTCTGCTGGACATTGGGCTGAACCCGTTGAAGGCTGGCTAGCTCACCTCGCCCCAGGCACCATCTGGAGGCTGGCTCCGGCTGCGGGTCTGGGCCAGCTGCTGGATGCAGTTATTGACTGCAATACTGCTCTTCCCTGGTACCAGGTCCTCTTCGGGTACCTCTACCCACCCCAGAGAGCGGACTGCGAAGCACTGACAGATTGGGAAAAAGGACAGGAGGGCCCCAAGTGAGTAGAAGTGGAATAGGATAGAAGATGCCACAGGCTCCACACATACAAACCCTCTAATACCCCCTCCCTTGATCATCTCTGCTCAGCCCAATCCCACCTTTCTCTTGGGACCCTCCCCAATGCCGCGGGCTGGCCCTCAGGCCCAAGTCACTACCTTGGCCCCAGGTTCCATGCTCTGGATGTAGGATTCCTCACCATACCAGGACAGAGAGTTACTGGAACAGAACAGAGCTGGTAAGGGACCGCACTTCCTACAGAAGGGACACTGGTGAGGCACAGACTACTTGATAGGCAAAGATGTGGGATTAAGACCCAGAATATAGTGTCCCCAACATAAAACCAGAACAGGACAAGGCCCAGGACATATTACATGTAACATAAAAAGTGTGAATTAGAATCTGAGGAAAAATTCAGGACACGGGACATAGAATAAAAGTTGCAAACATGGAGCCAGGTCCAAATGTGAACCAGAGCCCCAAATTGGGATAAGAGAACCTAGAACACAGGATGGGAACCTCCATGGACAGAGCCCATGACAGTAGCCAAGGTCTAGAACATATGTCAGGACCCAGAACACAGAAAAGAACATGTGGCAAAAGACAGAGCTTGGAACAAGGGCAAAACTCAAAATACTGAGAGTCAAGAACATGGGCTAGAGTTCAGAACCTGGGCTGGAAAGCAGCTGCACCTCTGAGTGCTATGGAACCCCAAGCCTTTCATTTGACCTGGCCTATCCCTGTTACCTCCGGTCCAGTGAGCTCTCCAGGCTGGAGAAGGATCTCCCCTTGGGGGGCCGAAGTCCCCAAATCCCGTCCATCCTCTGCAGAAAGGGGGCTAAGTCAGTGTAGCAGCAGGCTAGGTCCACACATGGCTTAGGCCCCCTCCTCACATTCCACCTACCGTGCCTGGGTCCTCTGCATCTCCTGGCTCCCAGGTTGGGCGCTGCCACTGGGTACTACCACTGGGTACGTGCCAATAGTAAGTACCCGCAGCATCGTGGATCTTCCTCCAGCCAGGGGGCAGGCCTGGCTCTCCCTCGAGACTCTGGTCCCCCCACAAGTCATCTACAGGAACATAGAATGGGGATGGAGAACACAGGAGTGGAGGAGGGCATATTTGCGGGTTCAGAATAACACCCTGTCAACTCTTATGCTGCAGGTCCAGGCCGACCGTCCAGGCTCCCAATCTTGGATATTATGACAGCGCCAACACCAGGATTCATCTGTACCCTGGTTCTCACCCCGGGATGTACCCTCCTCCCTGTCTTTGGGCCTTGGGGTAGCCCTCTCAACTCCCAGTCCTCCCTCCCATCGGGCCCCCTCCGTGCACACCATCGCAATTGACCAGAATTATAGCCAGCATGTAATCCTTGCCCAGCATAGCCCCGGCCGCGTCCCCGCCGGCCTCTGCCGGCCTGCACCCTCAGCCCAGCTCGATCTCTGGAGTTGCTGTGCGGAGAAGTTCAGCCTCTCTGCGCCGGAGTCAGCCGAGCCAGCGGATGCTGCACAAATCCAGGGCGGGGCAGGGGCCGGGTCCTGGGGTTGAAATATGACGGGCCTGAGCAGCGCCTCCCGCCGAGAGGTGGCGCAAGCAAACAGGCGTCTGAATTCCCGAGCGGATGCGCGTCCCGGGAAGGAGCACCGTGGCCAGCGCAGCAGCCGACGGCACCGCGCAACTATGAGCTCAGCAAGCAGCGGGTGACCGGCCGCGTTCACGCGCACCCGTGAGATCATCACGCCCCGGCTGTATGCGCGCGCGCGCACACGCCGCTAGGAAGCCACAGGAGGAATCACGTGGAAGTATCTGTGGGCGAGAGACCGCCTGGGCTCTGCCGCCGGGAAAGCGCCTTCACCCTTCCCCAAAACGCCCCGGAAGTGCTCCCCCTCAGTAATTATGGCCGTAGCACTTGGCGTAAGGGAGGCGGAGCTGCGCCTGCGCAACAAGCTCGACGGGGAAGATGGCGGATGACAAGGTTAGTGGGCCGTGGGGGTGGTCCACAGTCAGGGTGGTCTTCACATCTTTTTAGTCCCGGGGAAAGGTGACACCGGAGCGGCTCAGGTGTGGAGTTGCCCCTTGTTTTTCCTGTGGGCTGGCTTTTGCTCACGTGGACAGCCTCAACAGTGTAGAGTGGCGGAGCCCTTCACGAGGCAAACAGAGCTGATGATCCTCCAGGCATCCCCTCTGGGGGACCATACGGTCCCTAGTTAGTCACACTCAAACCTTTTCACTTTGACACACTCCCCACTCCGCTCCATTCCGCAGCCCTCCAGTTTTTCTCTCCCAGAGACACGTTTCCAATTCATACTGACAAACCATTCAGACACTCCCTCGCGCATACACTGAATTTCATACTTATATGCGGTCAAAGTCACTCAGTTCATTTACCCGCAGTCCTGAAGCCAGCCATGACCCCGCCCCTTCCACCCTCCCGCGCGCGCGCGCGCGCGCGCATAGCCACACATTCAGTTTGGGTTGGCCTTGGGTGGCGAAGGGAGAGAAGCCCAGGCACAAACCAGATTACCCCAAAATTGTCCAGGGAAACTGCCTGCAACCATTACGTACCTTTGTGGTCTGGAAGTTCAGCACCACTCACGTTTATTAAGTACTTGCTAGTCCCTGCATTAGGCCTTGGACTCAGTAGACAAGACAGACTGAACCTCAGTCCCAGGTAGCTTATAGTCATTACTACTTTCCTGATTGATCTAATTGAAGGCCCCCTATCTGTCCCTCCCGCCTTCCCTACACACTGCCTACTATATAAAGTTCCTGATGCACATTCCATCTGTCACCCCCTCCCTTGCCCCAGTGTGAATTCTCTCCTTTTCAATGCCCTTTTTCCTTTACCAATATCATCTTAGGAAGCTATTATATGAAGAGGTTTCTCAGGCTCACCCCATCCTCCCTCCTCCCCAGCCTCTGATAGATTTGAGCAGGGGATGGGGCCAGGTCAGTCTGCTGGAGCCAGTCTCTCCCTTGTCCTAGGATTCTCTGCCCAAGCTTAAGGACCTGGCATTTCTCAAGAACCAGCTAGAGCGCCTGCAACAGCGTGTGGAAGACGAAGTCAGCAGTGGTGTGGGCCAGGTAACTGCATCTGACCCCTCCCCACCTAGGCTTCATTGCCCAATATGCTTTTGAATTGGTGGTAGGGATTTATTCAGCAAATGGTTATTGAAGGCCTGTTCTCTGTGACTTCAAGGAAAGTTTCCCTGAGAAAAATGGCACTTGAACTGGGATCTTAAATAGGGATTAACTAGGTGAAGAGGGGAGGAGAGAATATTCCAGGCAGATGGAATAACATATGCAGTGTTCTTGTGATGGGAGTAGCATGATGAACATGGGGGTGAAAGCAGTTCATTTTGCCTGCACTGGTGGGAGACCATGCTAGAAAATGAGAAGCAAGCAGGGTTCCTCTGGGACATCTCTGTGGCCTTGTGGCAGTAGGGTTCTGTGTTTCGAGCCTCCTAACCCCACGGTTCTGAGATTATGTGATCAGGACTCCTAGGTTATTTTTCTGCCTCCAGAGCCTTGAGAACATCTTTAGAGAGAGTACTGCAACTTTCCAGAGTAAAAAGAAGCAGGTGGAGGGATGCTCTAAGCCCAGCTTGAGTAGCTCCTGGTTAGAGAAGGGGAGAACCTACTGAGTTTCTTCCTGAATCTTCTTCCACAGGATGGCTCGCTCTTGTCCTCCCCATTCCTCAAAGGCTTCCTGGCTGGCTATGTGGTGGCCAAACTGAGGGCATCGGCAGTATTGGGCTTTGCTGTGGGCACCTGCACTGGCATCTACGCAGCTCAGGCATATGCTGTGCCCAATGTGGAGAAGACATTGAGGGACTATCTACGGTCACTGCGCAAAGGGCCTGGCTAGCTCTGGATCCTATGGGGGAGGCAGGATGAACAGCTGGGGCCTGCAGGTGGAAGCCTCTCGACCACAAACACCCTATCTGGCTTCCCCAGCTATCACCCACTTGCTGTCTCCAGTTTTTCTGCCACCTTCATCCTTGCTTCCGTTCTTGCAGAGGGTGGAAAGTGGTGCATCAACCAGCACCCTGGACTCCTCCTCCCCTCCCTGACCCCATGGGACTGATCCCAAGACTATGGCTTCTAAGGCCACCAGACCCTTTCCACCCTGACTGTGGAGTTTGCGGCGGACTATGATCCTCACTTCTCTCTCTGGCCTGGCACCACGGTCCTGCCTCCTGGGAGCCAACTCCATGTCTTGATCCTCCCAAACGTGTGACAATCCTCACTGCCCCTTGCTTGCTGCACAGGCCACCAGGCTCTGGTGTGGGCATGAGTGTAGAGGACGGGGGTGTCCCAGGCCTGGGCCGTCCCGGGCAGGCCCGCTGGACCCTGATGCTACTCCTGTCCACTACCATGTATGGTGCCCATGCCCCATTGTTGGCACTGTGCCATGTGGATGGCCGAGTGCCCTTCCGACCCTCCTCAGCTGTGCTGCTGACTGAGCTGACCAAGCTGCTGCTGTGCGCCTTCTCCCTCCTGGTGGGCTGGCAAGCATGGCCCCGGGGGCCCCCTCCCTGGCGGCAGGCTGCCCCCTTTGCACTACCAGCCCTGCTCTATGGCGCTAACAATAACCTGGTGATCTATCTTCAACGATACATGGACCCCAGCACCTATCAGGTGCTGAGCAATCTCAAGATTGGAAGCACAGCCCTATTCTACTGCCTCTGCCTCCGGCACCGCCTCTCTGCACGCCAGGGCTTAGCACTGCTGCTGCTGATGGCAGCAGGGGCCTGCTATGCAGCTGGTGGCCTCCAGGACCCTGGGAACACCCTTCCCGGGCCCCCTCCGGCAGCTGCGGCTGGCCCCATGCCCCTGCATATCACTCCACTAGGACTGCTGCTCCTCGTCCTGTACTGCCTCATCTCAGGCCTGTCATCCGTGTACACAGAGCTGCTCATGAAGCGACAGCGGCTGCCTCTGGCACTTCAGAACCTCTTCCTTTACACTTTCGGTGTGCTCCTGAACCTAGGTCTGCATGCAGGTGGCGGCCCAGGCCCAGGCCTCCTGGAGGGCTTCTCAGGATGGGCAGCACTCGTGGTACTGAGCCAGGCAGTAAATGGACTGCTCATGTCAGCTGTCATGAAGCACGGCAGCAGCATCACTCGGCTCTTCGTGGTGTCCTGCTCACTGGTGGTCAACGCTGTGCTCTCCGCAGCCCTGCTGCGGCTACAGCTCACAGCTGCCTTCTTCCTGGCCACACTGCTCATTGGTCTGGCAGTGCACCTGTACTATGGCAGCCACTAGCCCCTGACCACCTCCACCCTGACTCCTGACCCTGGAGATTGGGTGTCACTCTGAGAGCCACCTACCAGCCCCCTTTCCCTCAGCAGCCCTGTATCAAGTGCCTTGTGAGAAAACCTGGGGAAGAGAGAGCAGCCAGATGGGTGGATGAAGGTGTACCCCTTATAGACATGTAGAGTGGGTTTGGTTAAGGAAACGAAACTCTTAAACATCCTCCCCCCCAAGCTCTTCTAGACTAAGGAATTAAGGGAGCATCAACACTTAGGCCTGAGAAATGACCCCATCCCTGATAGAGCAGGTTCCCTGCTATCCTGCATGAATGTAGTTGCTTAAAGTGGGGCATGGGCAACAGTTGATATTCCTTGCCTACTGTGGCCACCCCAGCAGACCCACTGCCCCCAGGCCTGGTGCCAGCTGCCCAGCCCAGCTGTGGCGCATGATTCCCCCGTAAAGGATACTCGCTCCCCACTGTCCTGCAGGAAAACTCAATTGCCACAGGCTCCACACCCATCACCTGGGCCATTCTGCCAAGGTCCCATAGCTCCAGCAGCACCTGAAGACAATATACCCCTGCTCTCTCCACACCCAGCCTTTGTTCTGGAAACCCCAGAGGGGCTGGGGCTTGACTCATCTCAGGAAATGTTGCCCCTGGACCCTGGCTTAAGTCTATACTCCCAACCTCTCTACTCACCCAAAGACCCTCTTGGAGCCCAGCGCCCCCCTCTACAGCTCCTAGGAGTTACCGTCCTTCCTACTCTAGGTCCTGCCCCTGCCTAGCAGTGTCCCAGTTCCCAACAGCCACAGAAGCTCTGCACAGAGTGACCTGGGACCAGCACAGGGAAACTTGTATAGCTCAATCAGTGTCAGACTGCATAAGCAATAAGGTTTTAATAAAGCATTCTGGAGTGTAGGCGATTCCTACAATCAGCCATGATTGTCCTGTGTCTTCTGTGTTGCATAGCTCCTCTCAAACAATTTTGTTCCCCTGGCACCCTTTTTATCTTAATCCTGGGGTACCTTATAGACTAGAAGCAAAGGCTGTTTTTTTCCCCCCACTGTTGCCAGCAGCATTATTTCCTCTGAGGGCTCCATGGAGCCAAGACTGTTCTCTGTCACAGAGCTTTTGAAATTTTCCTGAAGCACAAAACTTGGTTGCTGGGGGATTTGGAGGCATCTTGGGAATAGAAGGCACTACGCCCAACAGGACAAACTAGACTCTAGGCCAGAAAACTCTTCAAGACTCAATGTGGTTATAACTCTCATTTCCTCTGGATCCATCACTGATATTCCTGCCTATCATCTGATCTCATGACAAGGAATGTCAGGCCCTGCTCACATGGTAGAATATCAAGTAAAATTGTGGGCGTTTTTTAAAGTCCCAGGTCTACTGAAGCAGAATCTTAGTGAGTTTGGGAATCATTTTTTCTCTTTTTTTAAGCGGCGCCCTAGGTGATTCTGATGCACACTGCAGCTTGTGAACCACTGTCTGCTGTGTGGAGCTACAGCCAACTAAACCTGAGTTTGAATTCTGCCTCTGTCACTAGCTGACTGTCCTTGGGCAGATACTTAACCTCTTCTAGCTTTAGTTGTCTTAGCTCTGAAATGGGGGCCAATGGTACCTTACAATTATTTTGGGTAGTAGAAAAGGCTAAATGAAATCACGGATATTAGGCACTTAGCAGGGACCGGTACAATGAGACCTGGTTAGTAATGGTATTAATTACAATGAAGGTTAGCTTTGCTATTGTGTCCCAACTTCCTCTTTCTTCTAGGACCCTTAAGAAGGAGAGCGGGATCTGGCTGGGTGGCTCAGCTGGGTAGAGCGTTGTCCTAATATGCCAAGGTTGTGGGTTTGATCCCAGGTCAGCACACATACAAGAATCAACCAATGAATGCATAAGTAAGTGGAACAACAAATTGATGTTTCTCTCTAAAATCAATACATAACAAAAAAAGGAGAGAGGAAACTGCCCCCAAGGATTCCTGATCACCAGATTTATCCCCCGGGCAAGGCTCCAGCATGACAGCATGACTTCCCCAGCCCCCAGCCTAGTCTGCAGCCTGCCGAAGCTGCTGGTTCTGGGCTTGGAGCTCCTGGTTCTGTGCAGCCAAACTGATGGTGTCTTGCAGGATGCCAGCCAGCAGGCTGCGGTGGTGCTGCTCTGTGGCCATGGTCTGTTCCTCCCACAGCCCCCGCCAGGCTTGGAACACCTGTGCCCAGATTCCAAGATGTCTTGTCAGTTAGCCAGCCTGGTAACCAGCTCGAGGCCTGTCCTCTTTCCCCACTGACCTGTAACACGTGATGTGTCTGAGCTCGGGTGGCCTGCACATGCAGGTCATAGAGGGCTATCAGGTCCTGCTCCGCAGTGTCCCGCTCTGCCTTAAGAGCCTCCAGCTGGTGTCTCAGCACTGTCTGCTCCTGGTGCCATCGCTGTCTCTTCTTGGAGGCCTTAAGTGATAATATAGTCAGCTCTTTGTATCTGCAACCTGTTCCCGGATTCACCCAATCGTGGGTTGAAATTTTATTTTTTTAAATGTTCCTTTATTGCTGATGTAGTTAGGTCCACAGTGTCTGCATGTCTGAACTGAACATGTACAAAGTGTTTTTTCTTGTCACTATTCCCTAAACAATACAGTATAACTATTTACATAACATTTACATTGTATTAAGTATAATAAGTAATCTAGAGATGATAGTACAGGGAGGATGTGTGTAGGTTACATGCAAATACTGTGCCATTTTATATAAGGGACTTGAGCATCCATGAATTTTGGTATCCGCGGGGGTCCTAGAACCACTCCTCTCTGGATACCAAGGGATGACTTTTTCTTGAGTGCCACCTTTGTGCCCGCTCTGTCCTATGTACTTCATGTGTATGATTTCATTTTATCCATTGATAACCCTATAAGGTAGTTGTCATTTTACAAATTTGGAAACTGGATCAGAGGAGTGACTTAATGTGCCCAAATTCACATGGCGTGTGAGGGGCAGAGCTGAGATGTCATGCCTTTCAAGGGTTCACCATCATCCTCAGGGTAAAGCCCACATCCAGAGGCATGGCACATACTAACCTCTTTAGCCTTGCCTCTGACCATGCACCTGCCAGGCTCCAGTCAGGTGGACAGTTTGCAATACCCAGGACACATTTTGCCATTGCTTCCCTGTGGATCTTTGTTCATACAATATCGTCCTCTCTTAGAACATGTGTTTCTCCACCCCACCCCCAACCCCATGCACATAAGTTTTGTTTCTTAATTTATTCAAACCAGTAATATTTACTGAGTAGCTCTGTGTGATGGGCACAGAGTCCCCCTGGGGGGCTCAGAGTCTAATGAATCCCTCTGGCTGATTTATTTGTCCTTTAATTCTCAGCTTGGATACCATCTTCTCTGATCCACTCCGGCCTGGGTCAGGTACACCTCTTTCTCCCCCTAGCTCCCCTCGTCACAACACTTAACAATGAGAACTGCCTCATCTACGCCCCACACAGCTGTGAGGACCAGGAGAGGGGCTATGGCCCAGTCTGTTGGATCTCTGCTCCAGCACACTGCCTGGCCCAATCAGAAGAGGCTCAAGTCCCCTCCATGACCCTCCTTACCTCTTCTCCAGCCACCAGGCTTTTGACCTGGTCTCCTGCCTCCTCCTCCTCCTGTTCCAAATTCTTCAGTTCCTCTTGGATCCAAATTTGGTGCTTTTCTCGCAGTCTCTGCCTCCGAGCCTGGGCCAGGAAGAACTGCAGGGACACATCTGGGGCCTGCCGGGCCTAGGTGCCATCAGTCTAGGCTCAGCCAGAAGCCCATGTATGCACACGGCATTGGGACATAAGACCCAACATTTCCAACAGAATCCCATTGCCAGGGCTACTCCAAGAACTACATCCCAGACTAACTGGCCTGGAAGAGTCTGTAGTCTGTACAGAGACTTGGAGGCCATGGGGGGAGAGGAAAAGTATTAACTCTGCCAATAGATGCCACGGAGGCCCTAAGAATTGCATACTCCTAATCCAACCCAGTAGGCAAACAGTCCCTTTCTGTGGCCCTCCCTCAGGGATCCAGTAGACCTTCAGGTCCTTTAATTGCCAGGAGTTCCATATTTCTCCCTGACGTTGGGGCAGGGTAAGCCGGAGACATGTGAACTGCTCTCTGCAGCTCTGCAACTCTTCACTCCCTCAACGCCTTCCCATATTTCTGGGTCATGTGAGGATACCTGTTCCTCAGAGTCCCTGAGAGTATGCCTTTGGTGGAGCCCAGGTCCTAGAGATGCTGTTCTTCCTGCCGCTGGTGGAAAATGCAATTAAGCACATAGAAGGTGAAGAGCTCCAACTCCGCCCCCAAGCCCCAGACCCACCTTGGGGTTCCCCCTGGAGGCTTGGGCTGTGGCTTGCTTCTGAACTTATCACCTGCTGAGAAGATATTGGGAATGGCAAGTCCACACTCTTCCTCGCAGCGAAGACTGAGGCAAGCTCGGGGCTTTGAAATCAGGTCAGGGTCCCAGCCTCTCCTTTCTTAGCTGTATAACCTCAGGCAGGTGACTAGTCTGAGCCACCATTTTTCTTCATCCATAACATAGAGCTGATTAAAGTTGTAGAGAGTATGGAATGGGACAAGGCACCCTAAGCACTGAGCAGCGACAGGCACTGCTCAGTAAATGGGAGCTTACCTGCTTAATTCCCAAGGCCCAGGGCTGTAAAAACAAGTTGGAAGTAATCGTGAAAAGGAAAACACCAGGAGAAACCGGTCCAGGCAGCCTCCCAGCCACCCTGTGGCAAATCATGGGAGATAGCGCCCCCTTCGGCACAAGAGTGGGCTTGCGTCCTGAGAGGGTGCAAGCACCAGATTGAGGGGAAGGACTTGGGCATTTGCACCTATGCTGCCTTGGATCATCCCAGTGACCCTGGGATACTCTCTTTCTCTGAGCCTCAGTTTGCTCAACTGAAAAGTGGGAGCAACGTTGTCCTCCCTGCTTGAAATACTTCTGCGGCTTTCCTTTCAAGATTAAGTCCAAACATCTACAAAGCCCTGTGTGACCTGGCCCCCACTTCCCTCTCTAATTCTTCTCCCCTGACTCTCGTCCCCAAACTCTATCTTCCAACAAATGTAGCCACTTGCAGTCCCCCAAAGAGATCAAGCCCCTGCGTACCCCTGAAACTGTTCTTGTTATTTTCTCTGCCTCAGGTGCTCTTCACTCATTGCTGGCCACCTCCGCCAGGAACCAGCTTCCCCTGAAGTCTTCCGTCCCTTTCTTGCCAAACTAACTTAGATGCCCCACAGAACCCGGTGCTGATAAGCCCTTTTAGAGCACTGATATGTTGTAATTGTTTCTCTCCGCACATTGTAAACTCCATGAGGACAGGGATTTCCTAGGGCCTTCGTGGCACTGTGCCCAGCACACAGTGAGTGGTCAATAAATGTTTGGGAATCAATAAATTGATGAGTAAAGGAAGGGCCCCCTCATAGTGCTCTGTAAACAGAGGGAAGGAAGGCAGGTGTCAGAGGGGCTCCTAAGAGGCTGGATAAAAAGACATACCTGTGGTTCTGAGAGCAGCACAGCCTCAGCTTTGACCCCTTTGAGCATGCAGCTTCCCAAGCGCCGGCTCCAGGCTTTTACCACCTATGGAGAAATGGCTCAAGGTGCGCTCTGGCCACTGCTGGCCCAGACACCTGCAGAGCTCACCTTGCTCACCTGCAACTCCCGCAGTGCCCTGCCCAGCTGGGTGAGCCCAGCATCTGTCAGGGGGTCCCCAAGAAGGCCCGAACGCAGGCTCTTCAGGCCAGCCCGGCGGGCTCGGGCCTCTTCTGCTGCATCCCACAGGGTCGGCTTCACCTGTTTCACCTGCATTCTCCTTCCTGCGGCCCCCAAGAGAGCAGCCTGGAGCAAGCTCAGGGAGCAACCTAGCAAGAGGACACTCAGAGTGAACTGCTCTTTCCTCTGGAATCCAAAGCTTACTGCCTCTAGTAGTTTTAATTTTTATTAATAGCAGTATTCATCAAACAGCCAACACCGATCAGGCTTGATTACATGTGCTCGATGTCACTGTGCTAAGGCTTTCTCTGGGTGCCTTTTACCCACGCAACACTCAATGAGGCAACAACTCTAAAATTTTTATCCTGCCCCCCCCCC